ATTTTTTTAAATCGATGTATATTGTGTAAAAATTTCAAGCCGATCGGAGCAAAATTGACGAAGTTATGAGCATTTGAGCATTCAAGTGCCGGTTGCTCCGCTGGCTGTGTTTTCGTATATTTTAAACTTAGTTTGTGGTTAACCTTTCGCGGACATTTCTGAATGTTTTCTGATGTCGTTGATGTGTACGTATAAGTTTGGGGTCGCTGATTACGAATCTGAAGTCAGATTTCAATAATTGTCAAAATTTAAAATTTCGTTTTTCTCGAAATGACATTTTTGAAGTCCGTGTTCACGATATCTAAAAATCTACTGAACCAATCGTTCTGAAATTTGGCACAGTTCTTCTTGACTTAATTCCCCAGGTAACTACGAGAGCTTTTTTTTAATAATTATTAATTATACAGTAAAAAATAAATCGATTTTTTCAGTAAAAATCGAGTTTTTGGATTTCAAGCTGGAAAAAATCGAAAAATAAAAAAAACCCTCTCGTAGTTACCTCGAAAAACATCTTCTTTAACAAAAATTTTTTTTTTTTTGAATTAGATGATTCTGTTGCGAGTTACGTTGAACACCGCAAATCCATTTTTTACGAGGCGTCTGAAGAGATTTACTGCCACTCGGTCAATTTGCAATATTTTTCAATGAGAATTTAGGAAAATATACTTCAAATATTGTATTAATATGTGGAAATTAAGTTAATAAAGTAACACACTTTATATCACCGAAAAAAATGATTAAAAAAGTGCCTTTTTTACACTGAATTAACCATACCCCCCTAAGGATTCAATTACATTTTTTTAAATTTCCAGTAATTTATTATTCTGTTAAAATAAATAATTTATTAAACAAGTATTATATTATTATTATTTTCTTTCGGTTATTAGAATTTCAAGTCTGGAAATTCGGAGAACAATTAAACAAAGTATTTCCATCAGTTGCGTCATCTATCTTCAATTTTCTTTAAGCACAGTATTGTTTTCATTACTGTTCACCAAAAGCAGGTTATTTTTCTTCACTTCTAAATTTTCTAGACGCTTTTTTACCACCGTAGCAATTTTCTCTTGCGTTGACTACAAAAACAGTTTCTCAATTAAAAATGTTACACATAGAATAGTCAACTGAATAATAAATTAAATTTGTGAAAATCTTAAGTCATTCCAATAAATGTTGAATTGCAGTTCAAATACAATGATACAAAAGATATTTCATTAATTCGAAATAGATGTCAAGAAAAAGAAAAACTAACTGGCCGTTTGCAATTAGTGTTATAATATTTTAAAAACAAACAATTAACCCTTTAATGGCCAGTGGGACATATTCACCTACACTGAAAAAATCAAAAAGGTTAATCGACTTCTGTGAGAAAAACATTTTCTTGTTCTAAGAATATCTGTAGTCAAATCAATTATTGCATTTGATTCATTCTTGGTTCAAGAAAATATGGAATTCGTCTAAGAAGTTAATTGACTTCTAAGAAATGTAAAATATATTAAGTCAAGATCATATATATATTAAATCAAGAAAATATTTTCTTGACTTGAGAAAACTTATGGAGTTCAACCAAAAAAATATTTTCCCAATACAAGTAAATATTTACTTGAATTACCTCCCCCCTCCTACACCCCTTCCTCATCCCACCATGTCTAATTCTTAAGTCAAATACATTTTTATTTATTATTATTAACATTCATATTTTTTATTATTTATTTAAATAATGTTTATTTTACATACATCCATATTTATATTTAATTAATACTTAACATAACTGAAACAAGTACACCTTAAATGAAAATTTTTTCACTTCATTTGGAGAGAAATATTTTCTCGGATCAAGAATACGGGATTTGTATTAAGTAAAAAATTAATTCAAAGCAAATGAATAAAACTATTTCATTCAAAAAATGAAAATTCTTCAGACAATATTTTATTATTTTGCTTAAGAACATAATATTCTTGACTCAATACTTTTTCAGTTTTTGACGCAAGTAAAACAGTTCGCTTGAAACAGTAAAATATATTTACTTGTATGAAATTCATTTTTTCTTATTTCAAGAAGATTGCTCAATGCTCAAAATTACTTGACTCAAGAAAATAAATTTCTTCCAATAAGAAAATATCGTCTTGTTTCAAGTAAAATACCTCAAGTAAATGCATTTACTTGATACAATTAACTTTTTTATTTAGTGTACTTCAAAAAATTATAACTTTCTTAAATCTTGACATATTAACTCCGCTTTGGTCTTGTTTTGAAGGACTGGTCAAGAGTAACAAATACATGTCCATACCGTTTACAAAAAAACTACCCGTTTTGAAATACACCCCTCCAAAAAGTTGAAAAATCACAAAATTTAAAAAAACAGTATAAATTCCATGTAAAATTTTTTTTCAGCCTTAACTATTACATATGATTACAAATCTGCCGTGCAAATCGAAATAATTTTACGCTAAAAACGTAAATGTAACATATATACTTACATTTTTACCAAATTTGAAGTGAAAAATTAATTATTAATTAGTTTTTATAACAATAAGAAGATCTTTTTATTATTTTTATAATAAATTATCTTTTTAACCATTTCCAGTTACGTAAACAAGGTATTATTTTTGTTTTAAAAATGATTAACATAATATATATAAGAAAATTATTACTTTAAAGTATATTAATTCTTACAAATTTGTAAAATTTTAAAATCTTCTTAATTATTAAAATTATTGTTCTAAGTAGTTTTTTTAAAATTATTATTCTTTTCAGTAAATGGTTGAAAATTTCCCAACTGGTCCACCTAAAAATGTCTTTTCAAATTTAAAATATTTTTTTTCATAATTTATTGCAGGAAGTCGAATTAAAAACATTCCTGAAATGCGTTTTTAAAAAAATTAATTTTTAATTATTTATTAACAATTGAATATTTTGTTACCTTTCCACTAAATAGGCTAATAGAATTTTTATTAAAGCCTAATTTTTATTTAACCAAATTCTTATTTAATTAAATTTTCGCTAAACCAAATTTTTATTTAGCCAAATTAGTATTAGTATAAATTAGTATCACTAGAGAAAATTTTACGTTGGAATGTAAAATTTTCTTTACCCTGCTAAAACTAAAATCACAGAACGTCAAAAAATTAGTCAGGATCTCTGACGTTTTGAGACTGTTTTTGTTACGATTGCAGTCACAGAACACCACAAGTCAGAGAATCGTCAATAGTAGTCAGATTTTTCATGAGGGTCGGAGTTGACCCTTTTTTTTGGCCATACCATAAATCATTAAACCCTGTGACTATTTGTGATGTTAAATGACATTTCTTTCTATAAATTAGTTGTAAAGATTCCTGACTTACTTCTCATGAATTCTGACTAAAAATATTTAAAAAATTTTTAAAAAATCTATATTTTTTAATTAAAAAAATAAATAAAAATCATTTATCGTACAACATTTTTTTATCTTTACGTTACACATACTCAATTATTATTTTTACAATTTATTATATTTATTTACCCCTATCGAAGAAAATCTCGCAAACGCAGGAAATCGAACTCACAACCTAACGAATGCAAACCGAATACCTAACCCGTGAGCTAACTAACCTAACTGAGATCGTAAAAGCAGAATTCGGTTTTCTGAAAATAAAAGATCTTATTACTTTTTTTTAATTTTATCAACATATTTTGTTGATGATTATTCTGATTATTTTAAAAATTTTATAATTTTTAAAAATTAACAAGTAAAGTTATAATAGGTATATTGTTATATTGATCAAAAAACATTTTTAGTCAAATTATCATATATTAAAGTATTCAAATAATAAAATATTAGTGTTATGGCACTTTTTGTAAAAATCGAAATTTTAAAATTTTTTCGCTTATTTTTATTAGACTTTTTTTAGAAGTTTTTTGAGGTTAATTAATCGCATTTTTACCTTAAAATTGAGAAAATAACTGATAGATTTAAAATTGTGAAGAAAAATTCCAAAAATTTAATTTTTTAAATTTAATTTCTGTTTTATTTTACTAAACCTTTTTTAGTTATGTTTTTGAGTCCAATTAATGAAATTTTAACTTTAGAATTAAAAAACATGACAAATATAAAGAAATGAAAAAATGTTTTTTTAGTAACAACCTTTTTATAATTATTGTTTTCGGGTTATAGATTTTTATTTTAATATTATAGTTTAAATAATATTAAAAGATTTTATGTTGTAAAAAAAGTATAAGAAATTAAAATTTGAAAATTGGCTAAATACCAGTCTATTTGTATATATAGCTTAGAACATAAAACTTCTTAAATAATGTTTCTTTTTAAGAAATAAAGAATTTAAAAATGAAAAAAGGTAATAGAATAATGATAACATTGTTAAGTCCATCACAGCTGTCAATAAACTTCAAGGGGATGGCCCCCAAGAAGTTCTAGCTATAGTTCGAATAACATTATTTGCTCTAGATGTCTTTTTTGTAATTTTAATTATATGTTAAGGCAAGAGGAGTTTTTGGTTTAACATAATCCCTAAATATTAGATGTGTGAATTGCATTGAAGAATTTGATCATTCAATTTGACTGATCCAAGTTTGAGAATTTATTTGATTTTGTGAATATAATATAATATTGTGTTTTAGGTAGTGAAATATCTAAGCCATAATTAATCGACTAGTTTGAAATAAGATTAAATGCTTCCCTAATTAAATCCTTAGCAATTGACAAATCATCTGCGATTATATACGAAATAAGATCATCGGCTTATTGCACAATTTTGACTTCTGGAGGAAGACAATTCTTGATAGAACGTTATGCCAGGTTAAACAAAAGGGGAGACAAAACTCCACCCTGTGGTAATACTTATGCCTGAAATTATCGCTTGGTTTTTATTAATAGAAAAATGAAGGTATCTTTTAGAGATTATAAACTGACAAAGTTAATTATATGAGCTGGAGTTTTTAGACTATAACTAATTCTTGTATGATTTTATCTGTAAATATCAAATTAAAGGCTCCTTTAATACCCAATGCAAGAGCAGATACTGATTTGCCCTCACTAAACGCTCCATAGATGTCGGAGACCAGGTAGGAGGCAGCATCAATGGCTGATCTCCCTCTCCTAAAACCATTTTTCCGTTTTCGCTATGTATTCCAATCTCCTCTGCACTAGTCTTTCCATAATCTTATCCAGGCATGGAGTCAGTGAGATGCGTCGATAACCTCCAATAGCTTTCGGCAAAAATTTTACCACAGCGTACATTCTATTATAAGCTTCTAGAATTAGATCTTTCCATTCCCGCGTTAATTTAGAAAATATATCATGAGTAAAAGAGTCCAGCCCTGGAGCGGATTTTACATTAGAAGCTTTTATTACTGCCCTAAATCTACTAAATACTAAATAATACTAAATCACAATGCGTGAGGTCTCGGAACAATATCTTCTCTTACTAAATTTTCTTTCATTGCGTTAAGTTCATCTGTATTTTGATCTGTGAATCTACTCGTATTTATTACTCCTGATCTTGAAATTAATCCTTTAACCATTTTCCATATGTTAGATAGACCCTTTGAAAAGTTTAATTGCTCACTAAAACTTTTAAATGCTTCCGACTTGATTTTTCTTATTTGCCTTTTAGTTTTGTTACATTTAATTTCATAATTAATTAAATTCTCACTAGTTTGTGTTGTTTAATAAACTTTGAGTACTACTTTCCGTTGATTTATTACGTTTTCGCCGTCTGAATTCCACCAAAGTGGTTAGGGCTTTCCTTTTTTAAATCTGATTCCTGGAAGGAAGGCACCACAGTCTTGTAAGATTTTCATAATTTTTACTACTATACCCAGTGGGAAATCCCACACAGCACAACATCTTACACCAGGCCTACAGCAGGCTTACATGTAAGGTTTGTAAGGTAACATCGTAAGCCCATAGTAGACTTACAGTAAACCAAAAATGTCCGCCTTACAGTAAGCTTACATGGTAGGGTCGAGGTAAGCTTACATGGTAGGGTCGAGGTAAGCTTACACGGTAAGGTCGAGGTAAGCTTACACGGTAAGGTCGAGGTAAGCTTACATGGTTGGGTCGAGGTAAGCTTTCATGGTAGGGTCGAGGTAAGCTTACACGGTAAGGTCGAGGTAAGCTTACACGGTAAGGTCGAGGTAAGCTTACATGGTAGGGTCGAGGTAAGCTTACATGGTAGGGTCGAGGTAAGCTTACACGGTAAGGTCGAGGTAAGCTTATGAGTGAAGGCTGTGGTAAGGTTATTATTAAGTTGTAAGGTTGAGGTAAGGTTGTGGTAAGCTTACAAGGTAAGGCAAGTTATATTCAAATAATAATATTAATAATAAATAAATATTCAATAAAAAAATTTTTCTTTTGCCTTATTCTATTTTGGGAACCTATCATTTCGCAGAAAGTTTTGAAAACAAATTTGGGAGGAGTAGGATTCGAACCCGGGACCGAAGTATATACCTAACAACCTAACCAACTGAGCTAAACGGGGAACTGACAATGAGAAAAGTAATCTTACTTTTAAAGTGGAACCAAGAAGATAATCAACTCCTTAAAAGCAAGATTACTTTTCTCATTGTCAGTTCCCCGTTTAGCTCAGTTGGTTAGGTTGTTAGGTATATACTTCGGTCCCGGGTTCGAATCCTACTCCTCCCAAATTTGTTTTCAAAACTTTCTGCGAAATGATAGGTTCCCAAAATAGAATAAGGCAAAAGAAAAATTTTTTTATTGAATATTTATTTATTATTAATATTATTATTTGAATATAACTTGCCTTACCTTGTAAGCTTACCACAACCTTACCTCAACCTTACAACTTAATAATAACCTTACCACAGCCTTTACTCATAAGCTTACCTCGACCTTACCGTGTAAGCTTACCTCGACCCTACCATGTAAGCTTACCTCGACCCTACCATGTAAGCTTACCTCGACCCTACCATGTAAGCTTACCTCGACCTTACCGTGTAAGCTTACCTCGACCCTACCATGTAAGCTTACCTCGACCCTACCATGTAAGCTTACCTCGACCCTACCATGTAAGCTTACTGTATGGCGGACATTTTAGGTTTACTGTAAGTCTACTATGGGCTTACGATGTTACCTTACAAACCTTACATGTAAGCCTGCTGTAGGCCTGGTGTAAGATGTTGTGCTGTGTGGGATTGTTAAGACTGAATATTGGCTAAATATTGGACCAGTTATTTTTACCAATATTGGTCCAAGGGGGTCGTCCATATATTACGTAACGCTCAATGGGGGAGGGGGGGGGGGTTACCAGACTCTGTTATGGTCTTGTTACGATGGGGGAGGGGGGTCAAACTACAGTGTTACGTAACAAATTAAAAAATCATTTATTGAGACAAAAAAATAATCACAAGAAGTACTAATGTAATTCTTTTCACTGGCATAAATTTTGGCGGGTATTCCCCGTTAAAACTTTTCACAAGTGATACACGGATAGGTAGTTTCTTTCCTTATCTCAGGGTGCAGTCTCTCCGCACAAAAAAATCAAGAACGCACAAGCGACAGCGCTCTGAGACTGTGATCATGGACAAGTGAGCTTAACCTTAAAACAGAAACGATATGGTCATACCCTTAGTTTTGTGTTTACGAAGTAAAATTCTAGTTGGTCACAATAAAAATATCCGAATTAAGAGAAGATGAAAAAATTTTCAAATTTGCTATGTATGTTGTGGTGATGTTTATAGCATGTAAGTATAAACAAAATATTATATTGTTTACTTTTTGTTTTCCTTTTGTACTATTTGTTTGTTTGTTTGTTTGTTTATGTATCAAACGTTTGTTTTACCACGTTTATAGAAAATATTCGAAAAAATTGTATTTTTTCTTGTAGTTTTTAGACTTTTAATTGTAGAAAAAATATTTTTAAAATTTCGATTTTTTGATCGATAGCACCTGGTCACCTATATTTTCTTTATAATTTTGAATGTAAATCTAAATATTGACACATTAATATTAAGTTTAAATCGTTTTTAAGGAAATTTATTGTAATTCGTTTTTTAATATTTCTAGATATATAACATCTACTAGAATATTTCAAAAATGACTTCAACGTTGGGCGAATTGTATAAGAGTGCTTTTAAAGAGTACAAAATTTTATATTCAGATTTACCAACCCAGTTGAAAATTCCGACTTCGTTTACGACGTCGTATTCTAAGTAGTTTGCGACGTAGTAAACGACGTAGTAAACGACGTAGAAAACGACATAGTAAACGACGTCGTAAATGAAAGCGGAATTTGGGGTAGCAAACTACGTCGTTTACTACGTCGTTTACGATGTCGTTTACTACGTCGTTTACGATGTTGCAAAAATTATTTTAAAATTATTTATTTAGTAATTTAGTAAGTCCAATATCCAATATTAAAAATTTTAATAATAATTTAAAAAATCAATAATTTAAAAAAAAATTTATTTTTATTATTTTTTAATAGTTATTATTATTATTTTATTTTTAATATTTAAATTAAAATAAAAAAATGGTCATCAAAATATTAGTGAAACCATTTCTTCCAAAAAAGAATTTGTCTCAAATCCAATAAAGGAGAGACATCGGGCAGAAAAAAATTTCGACAAAAAAAAATTTTCGATCACTGCTTATATACCAATCTAATGGCACCTCAACTGCGAGAAACAGTTATGATGTTCGCCCTCCCTGTGGCGTTGAGCGAACTTAAGTCCAGAGATGAGTCATCAGCGCAGCGCGGAAACATTTGAAAAATTTGATTTTATTAGATATTTTATTTTATTTTAAATATGACAAATAATTAACTTAATAAATAATTGAGGAGCAAATTTTCAAAACTTGATAAATCCATTTTTCAAAAAAATGGAGATAACCATAAATTTAATATTTTAAGGACCTCACAAATCGATCTGTCACTGTTAAATTTAAGAAAAAAAATTTATTAATTACAAATTTTTTATTTAAAAACTTATTGACATAACCAAGATGATTTACAATTTGTATGTTTTATATTAGAAAAAATTACCAAAACCTGTAAATCACTCAATTATGACAAAGTTCAATTAGAAACATAACGTCTTGAATATAAAAACATTGTTATAGAAATAAATTATTATAAATTTTTTATTTTAAAATTAACTCTAGTGGTTATGTGTGGAAAGTCATTTGTTTGAATTTCTCGAAATAAGAAAATATGGATTTATCAAGTTTTGAAAACTTGCTCCTCAATTAATGTCATAAATAATTATTAATAACATAATGTCATACTTAATAATTCGTTAATTAATTATTTTTAACGAAAATTTGACAAAAAAAAAATTTGTTGGCCAAAAAAAATATTACCATTAAAAAATAATTTTTTTGTTAAATTTTCGTAGTAAAAAAAATTTTTTTTTCGCCATTGACATGAAAAAGTGTCTTTTTTGTGCCTGTTTTGGGCAGATAAAGTAGCACTTTTTAAGGCAGTTTGGGCCAACTGCCTAAAAAAGACTTTTTTAGGCAGCAAACTGCCGTATAAAGTCTTTTTTAGGCAGTAAACTGCCCTATAAAGTCTTTTTTAGGCAGTTGTTAATTTTTGCATAATTTTTTTTTTTGCTTTTATTTTATTTATCAATTTTTATTATTTTTTTTCTTTAAAATTGTTTCACTTTTTCATAACAATGGCGAAAAAAATAGCGTATGTGGCTCGCACGTAGTAATTTTTAGGTTCGGATGATTTCAATACTCGCTGTCTGTGCGACTTCGGTTCGACTCGGCTCGCTTTCGGCTCGACTCGACTCGCCTTCGGCTCGTCTTCATCTCACCTACAGCTCGCCTTCGTCTCACCTACGTCGCACTAACGACAGCTCGTACTGAAAATTACATCCTCACCTAAAAAGTACTACTTTACGTGCTTGCCACATAATATACTATTTAAGACAATTATTTGTGACCTAAAAAAATATCACGATGAGAATATAATTAACAAAAAAAATTACTCGTAGCACAGAAAAAATTTCACCATGAGAAAATAATTTTTTTAAAATTTTATTTGCAAAAAATTTATTGGTAGCTCAAAAAAAAATATCACGATGAGAAAATAATTTTTTGTCAAATTTTCTCTGTAAATAAATTAATTAACTAAATAACGTACCGTAAAATGGGGTTATTTCGCTCATTGCGGGTAAATTCGCTCACCCACTTTTATGCTTTATTTCAGCTTTAAAATAAAGTTTAATACCTTTATTAGCAGGTAAAAATGTTAAATTTGTTAATAGAAATACTAAATTTTAGTTTTTAATCAAATTTAAAGCAAAAAAATGGGTGAGCGACTTTACCCGCACTGAGCGAAATAACCCTGTTTTACGGTAATTATTAGTTACTTAATTTTTTACTACGAAAATGTAACAAAAAAATATTTGTAGCACAAAAATAATATCAAGATGAGAATTTTAATTATTTTTAAATTTTCTCTGTAAAAAAAATATTTTGTGGCCTAAAAAAATTATCACGATAAGAAAATAACTTTTTTGTCAAATTTTCTCTCCAAAACAATTAATTCACTAAATACCGTAATAAATCGTTGTTTTTTTTACTACGAAAATTTACCAAAAATTTATTCGTAGCACAAAAGAATATCACAATGATAAAATAATAATTTTTTTTCAAATTTTCTTTGAAAAAAAAAATTCGTGTTTTTAAAAAAAATCACGATGAAAAATAATTTTAATAAAAAGTTGAGAAAAATTCGATCCTTGGAAGGAATGAAATAACATAAAAGTTGTATGTTATTAATATTGTTTATTG